TGAAAGGCTTTCAATTCAGATAGTATTTTCAGCCTGGCTGCCTACCAGAAAATAAATACCCTTCRATTTTTCATGGAGCCAGGAGAGTCGGAGAGAGTTTTTCTGCTCTTCCCTGCCCCCCTGCCTGGCTGCCCGTACCGAGGTGCCAGAGTGACACCGCGTGGCCAAGGGAGAGGCAACACAAACTTTATCAATAAAAAGAGAACTCAACTTTTATACCAAATCCACATCAGGACTTTATATGGCTCGTTACAATTCTTCAAAATTATGTTTGGTACAGCACCGCTGGTTTTATTTTCATACGTTTATATATTCATATTCATATATATGCATATTTTCATACTTATTTTCATAGTTATATATTAAGCCCTAAACACTAAGAAAATAAAATTTATTAATTACAGACAGGGAAAAGTACCAGATTTACACCATGACACTTAAAAAGAAAATTACATTTTGCAGAAGTATTTTAAATTTTATTTTACTATCATGATAATTTCYCTGAAAACTTTTAAGAAATACTTTTTTCCTTATGCAAACACAAAATAGTTTAAGCTTTCTCATCCATCAGCTAATTTTATATGTTCTACACTGCTTTGGCTCTTCTTTTTGTCCTTGTGCCTGTCACTCAAGGATGCTGTGTAACTTTTAGCTTCCCTGCAATTCAGTAGTTCTAGTGCACCTCAGGATGAGATTCTGAACGGAGTGAGGTAATTAATACAAGTTGTAATTCCTCTTCCTCAGATTAGAGATTTAAAATCAAAAAATATCAAGACAAATCTAACAGAAGAGCACCCTCCCCATTTATTGCAGCCAGTGAGTTAATAGATATTTCAGAAACAAATCTGGATTGTTGGAGAAAAACTGACAGGTGTCAGGTAAATTTGTAATAGAAAATATTATACGCTYAGAGCCCAGAGCAAACAGTTCAGCAACTGAAATATTTACATTTCTGTCCACAGCTGGCATGGCAAAGGGTTGAAATGGAGCCCAGAAAGTCAGGGATTTGCTCCCACTGAGTGATGAGGGATTGCTCTAAGATAACACAAAAAATGCTGAGAGCCTGGAGGAACTACTAAAGATGACCCAAGGGGACTCTTGGATGACCAAGAGGGACACTAAGGGACASAGTCTTTTCCCTGCCTCCAATCCAAGCAGGTAAATCCTTCCTGATCTCCCCAGGGGGATGAAGGCCAGGGCCTGCAGTGAGATGTTCACAGTGCATCGAGACCCTACAGGGTGAAAAGGACTGGCCTTTCCTTTCATCCTCCATGCCTCCAACTGGGAACACTTTAGAGCTCTCCTCTTACCTCAAAGAGTCAAGGCARGACAGCCTCAGATGTGAGATAACCYTCYTCTTGTCTTTAGGCCCCTTTGGAAGCAAGAAATGCAGATTCCCTTGGCTAAGCTGTGATGTTCTTCYTCCAGCCAAGGAGGATGGCCTTAAAAAAGGTCCATCTCTGATGCTTCTTAGGGTGATAGATAAGAGAGGCGAAAAATAGCACTGAAGGGTAGTTGGARATGAGGACTGTTAATGATACAGGCACAAAATCTCACTTTTTTACACAAAAATCCCCCCCCCCTTCTGAAAGGCCAGCAACTGGCAGGAAAAGAGATAGTTAATGTGTGYTGTGGAAAGAAAAGCAAATGAAAAAGAGAAAGCTCTTTCAGCCCCACTTGGGWTYGAAGGGCCCACRGGCCTTGCTCAGTCTAAGGTGTCAMGRGACAAACACATTCCTCCAGGCCCAAGGATCCACACTGGAAATTACCCAGACCCCAGMTTTTGGCTCTCAGTCAAACGCGTTGCTTCGCACTTACCAGGTGTTTTGTCAGTTGTAGCCAGGGTTTTTTAAGAATTCAATAGGTTGCCACTTAAAATAGTTGGGGAAAATATTTTTTTAAGCAACCCCCTCCAAGAGGCTGATCTAAACACTCCAGAGGTCAGCAGAAAGGTTTTCACTAAATTCAAAGAACTGAATATAACTATTCTGTAAAGCCACTAATTATCCCCCAGGGCATAATGCTTGTCACTTTAGCAATTTGGAGAGACCAGCTCTCACCTCCAATTCTTCCATTAAAGACAGCCAGCCGCCCCTACTGGAGATATATGTTTGAGATCAGTCAATTAATCTGCTAGCAGCAGCAGCAATAGGCTGCTATTGATTCAAACACAACAAGAACATATTGAAATAGCCAGGCTGAAGTGAAATATGCCCAACAACAGAGAACACCCAGTACCCTGCTGACATTTACAACGAGCAGACAATGCTTTATACAGAATACAGTGGGAGCAAAATCAAAAGCCATTACCTGGAATGAGCCATTGATGCAGCAGATGTAAACCAGAGCAGCTGGTGGTCAAAGCAATGGGAAATTCTTAGATTACTCCATAAATTGATGAAGCTTGTCAGAAAATAAAGCAAGGAGCTTGGTTGAGAATGAATAGTCAAGCTTAATGAAGTAGAGCCTGTGTATCAGTGTTTCCTCATTCCCAYTCTGTCTTTACKAACCTGATACAAAATCAAATCAAAYAGAGCCAGTGGTAGTGCTGTGCCTTTGTGCAGGTCTGTGGGCACYGAGCAGGATAGTGCTGCTCAAAACYGGCTCTTCAGAAGGAACCCCGSATACTGACATGGCAACACTGATTAARTTTCCAGTCATTTGCTGCAGTTTTATTTGCTGCTTAAAAACAATTTTAAGTATAGCAAATGCAGCTGCAGTCTGACTGAATAGGTGCCTTCTTTCTGGCTCCAGCAGGTACATTTCCCATCCCCTCTGGACCAATATAAAGCTTCAGCAGCTTGCTAGCACTTGGCAACTTTAAAAAACACCACCAAAGCCCCCCATTTGATCCTATATAAAATCCAGTTCTTGTATGCACAAAACTTTTTCCCCTACATTACCTTTTAATGGGATAGAGGATAAGCAAGGGAAGTCAAACACCAAGATATTTCCAGCTGGAATTTACTACTGCTCTAGTAGAAAAGATACCGAGCAGCCATAGCAGCAGACGAAATACTGATGGAACATTACAGTATAGAACTTCATTTTGGACAAGGAACATTGCTTTTAAATACAGTGATTTCATCACCAGTTCCTACATTCAGAAGAAAGCTACTGCAATATATATTAATAAATAGGGCTCCTGAYTATCACCAACAGTGGGTTAAATCCCCAAGTGCTGGCCACAGCYAGTTTTCACTGGAATAAAATGGAGTTTTAGGTGGCTAAAGTTTAAACATGACAAACCTTCCAAAAGCTGGGTACATGGAGCAGGGCAGTTATTAAGAATAGATGCGTTTTTCTGTAAGAGAAGCTGACTTTGCCTCATTGCTAGCAGTGGAGCTGTGACAGGGAGTCAGGTGCTGGGTATGACATTCAGCACCTGATCTCACCTGAAACACACASGGACAGCGCTGTGCTCCCTCTCCCCTCCCCTCTGCTGGGAGTACTATAATAGCTCATTCAGAGCTGCACTGTCACACCACCAGCTCTAACAGTGCCTGGCTGAACAAGAAAGATTGCAGACTTGGAGTAAGTTATTGTTTGAGAAGCTCTCTGGAAATTTTAGTACTTTAGCTGTAAGTTAAGATCGGCTAAAGCATTCCCCGTATCACAYGAAACCCAGACAGACACCAGCAACTTACAAAACAAAAATAAGGCTTTACCAGTATTGCAAACAACRAAATACTTGGTTTGCCTAGCTGAAGTCTTCAACACACAGAACCCAGTCAGTGCACTAGCTTCTGATTTTTAATGCAGTTACTGGCAGGTTCCCCTCCTTTTCTACACCAAGGTAACCAATTAGCACCAGCAACTGCAGATTGTCTTGGCCTGCTAAGCCCCTATCAAGTTGCCACATTCAAATGCAGACAAATTAGGTCCCTAGTTTGCCTGGAAATTGCATCTTTTCACTGGTGTTAACAGAAGATTCAGCCATCACAATCTGCTCCCCCACTGCCTTCAATTAAGTAACTTACCTGGATAATGTCAAAAAACCTCTCCTCTTCCATGTTCTGCTATCATGATTCCATTAAGCCAAGTCTCCAATATTTCTGGAGATTAAGAAGCACTTTGCAGAGAACAATGGTAACAGCCCAAGTGGTATTTACCTCTCAACCCGCTGCTTGTTAACAAAAGCTAGGTCTAGCATGCTTTCAGCTACTCATGGACTCAAACATGATGAACTGGATGTCATCATCTCCACTGCTTTTAGYGCCAAGATCCAGCAGGATGGGCCTCCTACAAACCTCACTGTTTAGTTTATATTACCTCTTTCACACACCTGATTTTGAAATCTAAATACTGTCAATATTATTYCCCACTCTGCTGCAARCYTTGGCCCCTAACCAGCAAGGAAAASAGTATTAGTGCTTAGAGCAAATAAAAAATAGACCAAATGTATATCCCATCACTCCCTACTGATGTGTCTGAAGGCCAAGAATAGAGGCAGCAATTGAAAACTAACATACAATCAGTTATTAGAACTTCTGACAATACTGTCAACATGCTCCGTTAAATGCCAGGGAGCTTTAAAAAGCTTCTGCTTTAATTATGGGAAAGCCTGTAGCAAGTGGCATCTCAAGTTTATGGTTATAATTCCTAGGAGATAACATGCCAGCATCCAAGTAAAATCTTGGGCCTCCAAGCTAAMAAAAACAGAACAAGGGACTTTTCTCAATGATTTGCAGCTACCTTCCAAAACTCAAGCCCTAAAATTAGTTTGGCCATCTACACCTTAATAACTTGTAATTCTTCAGCATATCTCASAGTTGATGTCCTTTGGCACATTAGCTGCCATGCTCAAGTAAAATTGTAACTGGTATTATACACAATTTACTCAAAATTTGAGAATTTCCTATGATATCAGGAACAACCATTTAGTAGTTTGTTTTAGCAGCTTTTTTTTTAGCCAAGTTGTACCTTCCCAGTGCATTCACAAGAAAAGAAGAGTTCTTTTGTAGAGCAGTCATGGCCTGGAAAGAAGTTCAGTCCTTCACTGGGGTTAAAGCTTTATTTATAGAAAGCTGACTGCATTAATTGCAGCAATATTTGCATTGCATTTGAACTCAGCACTAACAGGTTAATATTTACATGTAGATAACACTTAAACCAAAACAAACTGAATACAGTCTTAGAGCAAAAAAGACAGACATACAAATTACAGACTTAAAAGTAAAAGTGATCACAAGTATTTCCCTCTGGATGATTTAGTCCAAAGGTCTACTTCTTAATCAGATTAGCAGGAAGAGTGGATTTGTCCAAGTCATCAAAATATGGATGGTTCAAGGCCATTTTGCCAGAAATTCTTTTTGCAGGATCATAGATTAACATTTTCTGGAAGAAAAAAGAAACACACTTCCTCATGAAATGTGAACTCAAATAATGTTAAATAGGTAGACATTTAACCATAATAAAGTAACCATAAAGACTTTTCCCCCTTTGTTCTGTGCTCTGCCAGTTGGAGACGTCATTTCACTACAAGTCAATAGCAGTGTGCAACATCTCAAAGTGAAGAATCACATTTTTCCTCCTGTTCAGAAACCAARTCCTTGCCTGCATCTGGGCACCACATCCTCAGAACTAATCCAGAACCAGGCACCAAATAGCAATAATTATTTATCTCAGCTTCTTATTGAGGAAAATTAATAACCTTAGGCTGTTAAAGCCCTAAATGGTTACAAGGACAAATGGTCTTACACTTGTTTTGTTACTGACGTTGAAAAAAGTGATGTCAAATTGCTTCCACTGAGGTTGGTGAGGCACTTTACAATTAAAATAAGAGAACAATCACTCAGTTTCGAAATCCAAATTGGAAAGTAGACTACAAGCAGGTAGAACTGAAGAAAACAGAGTTAAAACTTGAGTCTYTTTGCAATGAAATGCCTCAATTGAATACCTCAATAAAGATGATAGAGCAAAAAGAGGGGTGTCATGGCYGGTAAAATAGCCCCCAGAACTTTCTGGAACAGGCAGGAAATTTTTTTTTCCTAGCCATTAAAAAAAAAAAAAGGCATTTACAATTTACATCACACATAATGTCAAAAAAGGAACAACATGTTCAGCAGTTTTCTACCAGACCCAAAACTTAGTCTTTTTTATTTCTCCTTACCAAAGGACAGGCCCTTTCAAATTCAAGTACTCAGGATTCCACCAGCTGCCTCTCCCCTGTCTGCACAACATATCTGTCTTCTAGAGCAAAACTTAACCAGTATTACTCTGCCCAGTTTTCAGTCTTGACTTTTAACTAGCATTACACTTCATTCTACAGRGAGTCTTCCAAGTTGATCTAAACTACTGAATTTTCATTTATATTCTCTGAACTTCTGCCAAATGCCATGCTGCTTCTAGATTTAACCTTGAACGTCCAATTCTAATTTGTGACAAGTTCCTGTTACCCATACCCCAGATATCTGATACCCCAGTTAGTTCTGATACCAAAGGTTCTCTCAAAATTSACTCAAAGAGGGAAATTTCTCTGAAAAAGGGATACTGTGACACAGACTACAGCACTGCAACTGCTAGATTAAGTGAAGGAAACTTCTTCTCTGAGCAGTTAGGAACATTAATCTTTCCCAGAACCTACTATGCTGATAATTCAAAGTTCTTGATGACAGCCATTAAGTGCTTTGAAGAAGTCATTTAGCTTATGAAGCTCTTAARTTTACAACCTCACTCATGCAATTTGAATTACAATTTTTGTATTAAGACATTTCAAAGATAGGTCCTTTACATACTAATTCCATCTGCCATAGTCTACAGAAAAAAATTAACATTTTCATTGACACATCTGAGCTTGTGCTCGTGAATGAACTATTCAGTTTTGTTGCCTTTAAAGTTATATYACTGGTTCAAAAGGCTTAAAAATGCCATAGGAAACTTAAAGGGATTCCAGTCAGGAATACCACTGTCACCAGACATTAATTGGAAACTAAAACATCAGAAGTGATTGAATTAAGGCAAAACTGTACAAGACTTTAGAGAATATGCTTTGAGACTAGAATTGTGTTAACACCATGAAGAACTAGTACATTTTTTGCCTTCATTAGCAGCAGCCCAAACCATTGGTTTTACATGGAGAAGCCACCTAAGATGAGCACTTGGCAGGTCCTTTTCATACAGCTGGATCAACAAGATTCTCCTGCCTTTTCTATTGATTTTAGTTTGTAAATACAGTGAGTAACAGTTCTATTTCAAACTGATTTAATAAAGATGCTGTCAGTAGTCTTATCTCTGTAAGTCTGCTCAGAGCTGTCCAAGACAACTATGTATTTAACAAATRTTCAGRCTGTCAGTGTGAACTGTGGCTCTGTTCCCAAAGAAAAACAGAAATAGTGAACATTTGAACTTCTTGGGTAGCACTGCTTCATTCATTGCATTTTGCCATGTTACCAATATGTGTAACAAACTGCTTTGTGACTGCTTACAGCCAGGAGCCAGCACACAGGTACTGCTGCACAGGGGGGTTCTGAAGTGCCAGCTTGTCTTGAGGCACACACAGCACCCACCCCACACCCCTAATGTAGGGCTGCACTGCACAAATGCAGCTTTAGAACGGCCAAAGGACAACCAAGGTACATTATTATGTTCAGCACACCTACTGTGTGACCTAAATTAGCCCAAACGGCAGCACATGAGCTGGGAGAGCACTAAATGGAAAAGCCTGATGAAGACTTGCCAATTAAAAGCCTGGTGTGGTAATTTAACTGCCTGGCCACAGAACTAAAGGAAACACACCAGACACAGGAGATTCCAATTCAGAGTTAATACACCACTGCCAGATTCAACTCCAAATTTAACGGCAATCGAGACAGACACTGCACAGACTKGAACTAAGTTTCTGGTCTTAGCTAATCAATACATTCAACTGTTTCCATCCTTGTTTATTCAGTTAAGATCATCATGAAAGTTTAACCAAGATGAGTCCACCAAGATTAACCTACATGCCACTATAAAATAAACACTTGCAACTGGATCAGCAGTCATACAGCCACATCAAATTAGTGCTGGCAGCAGGGAGATGACTCCTACTTTATGGGCAGAAGCCTTCACTGAGACTGAAGTATAAAGACTCATCCTCACTTTCAAATTGTACCTGGTTTATTATTATAAAAAAAAAGCTGAGGCATAATTGCTTCATGTGAAAAATAGTCTGGTATTACTTGTGAAAGGAGTGAATGTCCCACAGAGTGTCAATTCTACAAGAATGAAGGCTCATACCATTGCTGATAGCTTCAAGATGTCCACATCTTCCTTCTAGCCATGACTGTTTAGTACAGCTTTGTGTATTCTGGACTATTTGGAACAGCCAATTRGTTTAAGACCAGCTACTTACAGCCAGCAGATCAAGTCCATCTTTATCCAAGTTTTTGACATGTGTTTCAAGGCTGACAGGTTTCCATTTTGGGAACGTGTTTTTGTAGTCTTGCAGAGATTCCACCTCAGGCCACACCTCATTGTTGGGGGTCCCTAAAGCTCTGTGCAAGCAGAAATAAAATATTGAGCAGTTTAGTCAGAAATCTGTTTTGTGCTATTACACACAGCTGTAGTGTAGTGCCACACAGGTAGCAAGGAAAGGTTCAGCCCAACATACCTGAAGATTCTGAAGATCTGGTCAATCTCTGAATCCCCATGGAAAAGTGGTTTTTTAGTGGCCAACTCAGCAAAAATGGTCCCTATGCTCCAGATATCTACAGGAGTAGAGTAACGAGCAGATCCCAGCAACACCTCTGGAGACCTGTACCACAGTGTCACTACCTGTTGAATAAGGAAAGGTTAGTTTGTGGAATCATATCCTTTGACTGACTGCAAGGTCACTTTATTTGTTATTAAGCAGCATTTGCAGTTTTTTAGTAAAAATAGACAGTACTAGAAGTTTTAGTTAAAGTACTGCTTTCAAACTTCATTTGTAGACAAACCAACTCCATTGCAGTAGCTTCTACTTCAAGAAAAGMAGCTGCCTACATGACTTCCCTAAGAGTAGGAAATCCTTTGGCACCCAGCCACACAAGCTTTCAAACTTGAGTGCTCTGCAAAGCAAAAATGCCTTCATGAGACARTAAGCAAGTTTTAGTTCCTCTGACTCACTGTCAAGGTAATAATGGGATTCATAAGATGCTTTGGAACTTYAGGAGTAAAACCACCTTGAGTAAAACTTTAAAGAGGTGGAAAACTCTTTTGGAAAACAAAGCATAACTTTTTCCAGGTTTTGTCAGCTTATGACTTGAAAAAAGCTCCACGATTCTTTTTAGCTGTTGCATAGTCGGTTCTTAGCAGGAAGCAAACAAACACTATCCAAACCACCTGAAGTTATGTCCCAACTCACTTCATGAGTGTAGACCCGCACTGGAATTCCAAAGGCTCGGGCCAATCCGAAATCCGCCAGTTTAATCACCCCCTTGTCATCTATTAAGAGATTCTGAGGTTTCAAGTCTCTGTGCAGAACTCTTCTTGAGTGGCAGAAGACAATACCTTGCAAAATTTGGTACAGATAACTCTAGAAAGGACAAAGGGGAAGGAAAGATGGAAAGGAGTTACCTTTAGTACATGGCAGTGTCCTGTAACACAGTGTTTYCCTTACATTAGCTTTCACCACAGTAGCTGAAAATGGAAATCCAAAGCATTGTAGATATTGAGTTAATATCAATAAAAAGCCACACAAATTAGTTSTGAAGATTAGTTTAAGGCAGTTTAATCTCAGTAATTAAAAGATTTTCAAGTGGCATTTGAATGCAAAACTCACATTCATCTTATTATCTAGAGCTGCTTATTTAACACCTTTCATTTCTCCTCAAGGAGTTAATTATACTGAAAGTAAGAGGTGCTTATGGCTTAGTAGGTCATCTTTAGATTAAATTCCCTCTAATATTAAGAAATTKTCCTCATTACCTTAACACGTGAACGCTCCAAATACTGGCCAGATGGAATACTATCCAAATATTTCTTGAGATCCATKGAAAGAAATTCAAACACAAGGTACAGTCTTGAATCCTGCATGAGAACATCCTGAAGACTAAAAATTGAGTATGCAATTAATTCCACTGCAAGATGCATGGACTCACAGTGACATTTCCTCTTTCAACAGGGATAGAAGCTGACATTTCCAGGTTCTTATCRTAGAAGTCTTAAAAGTATTCAAACAAGAGACTGCCTTCTGGAAAATATCTGAAATAGTCTCAGACTGAGATAAAAGCCTATATGTCAGAAAATCAGTATAAGAGGAAGCATATAAGACACAGGAGTCTGAAGAAAAAAAACTGTTGCCTTTAAAAAAACCTCATGTGGGTGTTGGTGCCTTGCTTCTCTTTGAAGCTAGCTTGATACAGCAGAGCCTGAATTACTAGGAATATTTAAGGGAATATTTTAATATGAATCTAATAGACACAGCAGGATTTGCACATATTTTTAATTGCCTTCTTCATCCTTAGAGTATAAGGGTTCCTAAACCCAAGCATACAAACATGGAGACACTACCTGGCCAGTTTTAAGGCACACTAAGGATCAAGTATTCTGCTGCATCAAAGAGCAAGCACATAGCAAGACAATAGCTGCAAATATTTTTTACATGTCAGGTAGTCACTGATGGAAGCTTCACTCRTAGCTGAGGTGTGCCAGCTATGACAGCACCAAAACACATCTAAATTCCTGCTAGAGAACAGCAGGGAAGAACATCAGAACATTTAAGTAAAATGGTCTATTCCAAAGTGAGACTGCCTAAAGTAAGAGCTTGAGCCAGTTTTCGTGAGGTGTACTGCCTTTATTCTCACATTAACCTCTCTAAAGAGAATCCAAATAAATTGCTAAATTATCTAACAAAAATTTGTTMGATTCCTAGAATGGGAAGAAGCAGCACATGAGAAATGCCAGTTTTCTAATTCATCCTAAATATGGAATTTGGGAATTTAACTACTTGCTGCAAAGCAGACACTGTACTAAGCAGAATGGTTCTCACCTCACTAGACAAATAGAAAAATAATTTATTATCTGAAGGGACCTAGTGSCCTTTCAAGAGTTAAATACTAGTGTATGCATACCAGACTATATTAGGATGATTCAGCTCTTTTAATAAAGAAATTTCTCGGATAGCAGTACTTGGAACACCTTCCTCCTCACTTTCTAGACGTATTTTCTTCATTGCAACCACTTGGCCTGTGGTTTTGTGACGACCTTTATACACAACACCATAGGTACCTGAACAAAAAGACAGTGAAACAAATATAGGAAGCACCAGCCTCAGGTACAAATAAAGTTATTGCAAACATAAGCYGCTAACATTGGAAAAATCCTTGCAAATGTTTTATTTGATTTGACTACAAGCTACTACTTAGCTGTGGAGTTTAACTGAACAATAGTTCAGCCATCCATGGCTCTGAGCTGTAGAAATACCTCTGGCACAATCCTCAGTGCAGGAAAGAGGCTAGTGCTGTAGGTCTCAGAAACTGAAATGGGAACCAATATTAAATCTAAAATCAATCAATTTTAATCACCAGTGTTTATAAAAGTAGAACCCTCAAACCAAGACAATGTAAGCCTTTTAATTCCACCCTTCTTTAAGCATTGGTCCATCACATAAAGCTTAAACTAGTTTATTTCAGAAAGATTCACGCACAAGGCTTTGTTTACAAAGCTTTGTTGCAAGATACAAGCATACCTTTAGCTATTGCCTCAGAGAGTGCAGTCTCAGAGCAGTGTACTTCAAATTTCCAAGTCTATGTGAGGCCAGAGCCTTATGTAGTGTGTTATAAAATACACTGACTTCTACAGTTAACATGGGTTGGATTTCCAGTAAATGGGGGATTGTCCCTAACACCTGCACTGAAGCATCTTCTTAGTGCCTCATTGTAAAGTAGTTGTTAAAACTCACTTCTCTGCAGAGGTTTCCAACCTGTGCTTTCCTTTGAGACCCATAGTGACCGGATATAATCTGTTATAATCTTGTTTTGCCAGAGCAGAAAATTCCAAAAAATACTACTCCCTATCAGCAGTTCCAAGCAAAATGACACATTGCACAACTTCAGGGGCAATTGGTAATTTCATACACGCAGGAATGGGGGAACTTCCTAAATTGTAAGCTGGTTTCAGGACTCAGAACATATTTTTCTCCCTCTTTTGGARGAATGTTGTACCATTAACCATCCAAATGAAAGCAGATGCTTTTCAATGCTGGTCAGTTAAAAAGACCACACCACTTTCAAAAGAACAGCAGATTGAAAGCTTTTACATAGAGAATTACACAGTAAGCCACAGGTTTATTGAGCCACTTGGTTCAATCTCAGTGAGTCCTGTAACAGGCAGATTGCACACTGTTTCTGGGACACTTGAGAGTTCAAACCGTGGAGCCCTGAAAAGCTCACTGTTCCCCATACTTACCTTCCCCAATCTTCTCTATTTTTGTGTAATCATCCATTATGGTTATCCCTGAAACAGACAGGAAGARAAACAGAAAATTAGGGTGTACAGTTGCTGTCCTGAACACAGCCAAGTCACTGAAACGATGCCAAGTTTTAGAAGCAAGCTGTGCCTCACATAATTAAGATGTRACGTGAAACACTTAACTGTTTCCTTCAACAAAAACGCAGAATACATTTATTCAGAGTTCCTAGCTAGAAAAACTACACCCCAAAGTACGAGTGGGCAGTGATTCCAAAGAGGAAAAAAAAACCAAAAAAACAACAAAACTTTGTACAACGCTCCTCCAGGAAACTGAAAAAAGTGCATTTTTACCTAGTTACTCCCTCAATATTCCTATTGACATAGAAACGGATAGGAACCCCAGTACGTGAAAATCCAGGGCCTGGGCGTTAGCCATGCCAGGAACACCGGCCCAGGGTGTCACTTGGCGAGTGCCCGCACAAACCTTGGAGGGGGACGCGGAGGTAGCAGGGGGCTGATACTCCACACCTCCCCCGCTGCTCCGGACCCTCACAGCCGGGATGCAGCAGCTTTGGGTGGTTACGGACACCGAGCGGATCCGAGTTACCCACAGCTCCGGGAGGCTGCGAACTGCGGCCAGGGCGGGCAGCGCCCGCTCGCCACGCAGGCCCCACTCGGCGCGGCGCAGCCCCTGCCCCGCTCCCGCCGGCCCGGCACGCTCCCCCGCTCCCTGTGCGGCTCTCCGGGGCGCTCCCCGGGGCTCTGGGAAGCGGGACCCGGCCCTGGCTCAGGAGCGCGCCCCGCTCTCCGCCGCCCCCCCCTGCCCCCGCGCCCCTTACGCGGCCGCGCGCACCAACGGCCCCTCCGCGCGCCCTCCCTCACCTGCGGAGCCGCCGCGCGCGCGCGCCGCACGAGCCGCCGCCGCACAGGCACGTCCGCAGCGCCGCGCGAGCCGGGGGCGGGGCCGCCGCGCATTCGAACCGTCCGCCCGCCGCGCTCCGCCAATGGCAACGCGCCGGCCCCGTTCAAAGCGACCAATCGGCGCGCTCCGCGCCAAAGCGAGGCCCAAAGGGCGGCTTTCGGCTCCCTTCCTCGGGGGAAAAAAAAGTAGGGAAATGGTGCGCGGGCGGGCGCGACAAGCTGAGGATGCGCCGGGCGTCCCCTTGGTTCGCGGACGGCGCTGGTGGGTGGTGCCGGGTAGCTCAAAGCCGGTGACACGGGGGTCCCGGGATAACGTGACTGGGCGGACAGGTCACCGTGCCCGAATCACGGAGTGGGTCAGGCTGCCAGGGACACCCGCGGGTCATCTGGCCCCGCCTCCCTGCTCAAAGCAGGGTCGTCCTAGAGTACGGCACAGGATTGCTTCCGGACGGTTCTGGAATATCTCCAGAGAGTAAGACTACACACCCGCTCCGGACATTCTCTCCCAGCGCAGTTAAGTTGTTGCTCGTGTTCTGGGGCAGCTCCTGGGCAGCAGTTTCTGCCCATTCGTCTGGTGCCGGTGCTGGTCCCTGCTCTGAGCCCTCCCTGCMSACMGGGACACYCAGGGATGAGGATCCCTCTSGGCTGTCTCTGCTSAACAGCCCCAGCTCCCTCAGCCTTTCCTCACAGGAGAGCTGCTCCAGTCGCTTCATCACCTCACATCTCCTCACTGGGCCCTGGGCACGGCTGGAACAACGCTGTGGGCACGATTTGGGGAGGATAATTGTGTTTGGACCTGGCTAGGCTGTGCCTGCAGCTGCTCCTCTTGGTCGAGTCTGTTAGATTTGGATACCATGGCCGGCTACAGTATAAATTCATTATTTCTGGCTGCACGGGTGCTGATCTGGGATGTGCTGCTGCGGCTTTTGGAGCTGCTTTTAAAGTATATATATTAAAAAAAAGGTCATTGGGTAACTTAATTCCCCAGAAGCTGGGRCATGTGCCTGTAGGCAAATTAAAGTTCTGTATCCCTGCTCCCAGATTAAGAAAGATTAGTCCCTGTGCTATCCCAGCTTCTGAAAGAGGGGTTGGGAACATAATCAGAGAGAAACCTGCGGGTCCTGTTCAGCCAGTGCTCTGTCATTTGCGACCTCCCTTCCTCTGGTACCCAGGGAAGTAGTACTGCGGTACACATTAATGTTTAAAAAGCCTGGGGAAATACTATTCCAAACATCMCAAAATTTTGAAATGCTAAACAGATTAACGAAGGTCACGTGTTTGTAGTTTTATAGGTCTTTCCCCTGCAGGATTGTTCCGCTRTGAATTCTGTGATGCTGCTGACCCGCTCTGGCACCAGTTTATCACCACTGTCAGTCCCGGGACAACACACTCCTGTGGAAACCTGCAGGAGCGAGACACAGGCACCGCTCCATGCTGCTGATGTAATTGCAGTTTTTAATTACTTCATTRCACTGCTTTACAACATTCTTGAAGGACAACTTTGCTGCTTGTCTTAAATGTAAGCAGAGCAGGCTGCTGCGAACAAAAATGTGCAGCTTTTCCCTTAAAGKGTTTCTTTGGGAGAATGATTCCAGGAGGCAGGACTGTTTATGGTACACTTTCTTCTTCTCATCCCTACCCCATGGCAAAGGCAGCTCGCCCAGCTCCTCCCCCCGAGTGTGTTTCGGGGGTAAAACCCCTCCACTTTCCCCTCCCTCCCGGGGAATTTTTGCAGCATATGGTGCGCATGCTCGAGGGTCTGTGTTTACTTTGAGTCCTGTATTTCCATCACTTGCTGGGAATTTACCTGCCTGGAACAAGGCTTTTGTATATCTGGGAAATTCCATATGGGAGCATGGCTTCACATCTTGTGCAATTCATAGGAGAAGAGCAGATGTGCTCTGCCCTGCACAGTCACGGGGGATTTCTCCSCGTGTGTGTCACAAGTCCAAAGCAGCCAGGACACCCCAGGCACAGCAATGCACATGGATCAGCTGCACAGCTCAGGCACGGTGTGGGACATTCCCTCAGGCCTGGCTGTGCACCAGCAGCACTATCAGTGTGTTCTGCAGCTTTGGGGGAATTGTTTCATATAGCCAGTACAGGGCTGGAGCTACTGCTGCTGGATTAGTCCTTGTCCAGGGACCTCAGGAAGGTGGCCAAAGTCCACCTTTTCCTTCAGAGAAAAAGAAAACACATCTTGGAAGTCCCAGACATATGCTAACCCTAGTYAATTTAGGGGGGTTGTTGGTGGTGTTGCAGTATCATAAATATTCAGTACTGTAAGTTAATAYAAGTTACATTAAAATATATAGAGATTATATATAAAATTTACTGTGCCTGAAAGTGCTGAATACACTGATCTGAATTTTCTTTAGAGCAAGGTCTTTTTTCCTAGCTTTAGTTTAAATATACACAAGTATTTCTTAGCTGCGCTCAGACTCCTTCCTGCTGGACACTGTTAGTTCTCAGAATGCTCACTGAATTTTCAAACTCTGAGAATAAATCKTTTTCCATACATCCCATTGTGTCGTGGGCTTTCAGAGGGGAAGATCGAGAGGCACCAGAAGCAAATGTGGTTGAAGAACAGCTCTGTCTTACAAAGGAGCCCCATAGCCTCACTTGTGTTTCATACAGGAGGAGGGCTTCTCTGTGAGCCAGCAGCACACTGTGCTGTGATCTGTGTGAGGTGGTCATCCCCTTGGTCAGCACCTAAGGTGACAAGTTTAGCCTTTTCTGATACCTTTTAGAAAAGGTCTGGGAGATGGATGGCTTTGAGATCTGTCTGATCACTGCTGCACTCCAAGCCCAGCATCACTGCTCCACTCTTGTGCCTCAGTCCTCAGCCTGGGCTGTGCTGGCTCAATCACAAGTAAACAGCTCGGGGACATTTTTTTTGCTGTGGTCTCCACGTTGGATGGACTGGAGGCTGTGCCAACCCCTGAGAGCAGGATAGAGTGCTGTAATGTGCAGTGCTTTCCTCCAGGAGCAGTGGAGGCTGCTGTGCCCTCCGTCTGTGGCCTTAGAGCTCCAGTACCTTGCTTAGGAGGCCGAGTGCCTGTAAGTATAGACTCAACATGGCATTAATTTGTCAAACATCAGTCTGACAGCTCTGCTTACCTTGCGTTTTCCTCCCTCTCGCCGTTGTCTGCATATCCTTAGGATATAAACCACGTCTCCTTTCTGTCTGGATACTGCTTATCTCTGCTGATCATTGCTTTGGACATGGCAGGAGCTAATGATGCCGCTCGAGACAAGTGATATGACTACATTTGCAGTGACTTTTGTGTTTGAAGGGATTTACTGTTCTGCTTGAAGGAATAGCAGCAGCAAGCCTGCTGACAACTGAGTCACAGATGGGTGATGTGGGAATCCCTGGGACTGCTGCTCCCCTTTACAGCAAAACGTGGATCATCCAAGTGCAAAACCGAGGGAAAACTCCAAGACAAACAGCAAAGGAATCYGGGTCTACCTTGACAACACAATGTTAATTACATTTTATTTGTATAAATGACTAAGATGTACATATATTAAAACCTCTTTGGCGTCCCAGACTTCCACTTGCTTGAACTGCAGCGCTGTTTGTGCAAGGCACGCAGGATCAGCCCGACAATGCCGAGCTCGGATTAGGGCATTACAGTTGTATTCATGGTTAAGAACCCAGTGTAATGCTCTGAACAGCTCCTTCTCTGCTGGGCAGAGGGCAGCTGCACCAGTCAATATCGTCTTGTCTGTTGTATATTAATCATATTCTCCTCGGCAATAACATCACTGTATGGAAGAGAGAAAGTGTATTCTTTTACATAATKATGTGACTAAAAAAGGTCAACTGGTTTGTGAATACTAATGARGATATCTAAAATAGGTTGTGTTYACTGTGCCYRAAAGCAGATAAATACGAACACTGAYTGACTTCTTCTAACATTTATTAAAACTCAAAGATTATTTTGTTAACGTGACAAATGCAAAAGTACAGTAGGCGAGAKGTACTTGCACTTAGGAATGCAAGATAATATTAGAGGGATAATATRTCTTTAATGCATATCTCAGGTGATACATTTAACCTGTTAAGTCTCTCGTTATGCAGGACAGTTCCCAGTATGGTAAAACGTGGAGAACTCCTCTGCTGCTTTCATTCTGCATTAGCATTTTGATAGGATGCCAGAAAACAAAAAGGTCCTGAGAATTATTTGAACATAAAACAAAAGGATGGAGGCTGCTCAGAAAAATGAATTAAATAGTCAATGTCTTCTTAAAGCATTAATATAAATATTTTAAATGCACTTGAAGTACTTGAATTTTAAGTACAATTTTTTTTTTTTATATTTTACAGGTACAAATTATTTTTAAGGCTTTTTTTTTTGTAGTATGCACTGCATCACTTTTCCTGAAAATCCAGAATATTGATATGATTGCAATAATGAAATTATCATAAACCATCCCTTCATTTCAAATAAGAATAYATTGCAGATAGGAGCTGTCACTGGTTATTCATGGGTTTGTATCTTCCTGAAGGGAAACTCGGCTGAGTTTGAATCAGGGCAAGTTTTACAATGAACATTGCWGCACACAAAGAGGAGTGAGGGGAGAGTGTGCTGTGTGGGGATCTTGAGGAAGGGAGCAGAGAGGTGCACAGAGTCCCTGCTGAATTTATTGGGGGTGTCTTCCAGGGACTGAAACGTGTGGCTGCTGGACTGAAATCTTCCCCCAGCTCTGACTTTGCCAAATCCTCTCCCTCATCATCATCATCATCACTGTGGATCTTCGTTCATCGTGGCACAGCTGGTTTCATATGTACCTCCAGAGAAACACCTACAAATGTCTACCCTGGCTTTTAATTTAATAATTGTAATTAAATGACAAAAGGTGAGCAGCATATATCAAACCTGGGGGCAGAGAAAAAAAAAAAGCGCCTTTGTTTCTTTGGAGCATCTGGGCAAAAARCCAGGCTCCRCCAAAGTCTTTGGCAAAACTCCCAYTAACTTCAGTTGGGCACAGCTTTCACTSTTGACCCCAGGTCAGGTTTTAGTTTTTGCATTTCACTTAGCTTACAAGTCAAGAAKGAAAATGGCAGAACCCAATAAACTCCTTTTTAGCTTCCATTTGGATGCATGTGTGCAGGGGAGGTGCAGTCAGAGTCACATTTGGAGCTCTCCCAGCCTGGATGCACACAAGCAGTGCTTGGTGGCTGGAGGGGGCTGGTTTTGAGGTGTGAAGGGCTGGGAAGSAGCACATCCCTGCAGGGAACAAGGCAACCACAAACCCCATTCCCCGAGGCTGTGCACAAATGCCAGGCCCTGTCTTCAGCAGCAATGTAAGTCAATCAGCAACGTTCCTCACTTGGAGACAGTTACAGTAAAAATCTCTTTCCTGGGATAGCTGTTTCATTTCAACACATAATACTCTTCCTTTTTTTTTTTTTTCCAGTTTACCTCAGATTTTATCTGTTTTTGCTTTTTAATCTTACAACAACCGCCCGCTACTGTGCTTGAGATCAAATGCACTGCAACAGCAAATTTAAATTCCAAACCTCTGTCAGGGAAGCTTGACCTGAAGCCTCTCCTGAAGTAAGGGAAGTTAACTTTTCCTTCCCTCCAGGTGTAATTCCAGCTGCCAAAAGAGAAGCTGTACTCTTCCAGGTGGGAGTGTAGATGAGACAAATGAGGTTTATAAGCCTGTGGAAACAGAATCTGGATTTACATGTACACATCACACTCCTCTTAAAAATTCTTCCCCCTAGCAATTTTAAGAGTAGACTTAAAAACCACTTTTCATTTCAAGTAAAACCATTTTTTTTCCCTTAAGGTGTTGTTTTCTCTCTCAATCTCATTTAATTTAATCTCCCATTTAAATCTTACTTTCCTTCCCAAAGAGCSATGGAAGATGCAGTGATGGTGTGGTACAGAGTTGTATAAAAATAGTGTGTGACCCAGGCACAGAGCTGCTAATTGYCACTGCTCATCAGTGAACGTGACCAGCCGTGCTTCACGCCTGCTTTTAGCCAACGTGGAGCTTGGGATCCTTTTTCTCCCAATCTCCTCTGGCTCCCAGTTCTCCAAGTGGGCTGAGGAAATGAGTCACAGCCAAAATAAGAGGAATAAAAACATTCTGGGGAATTACCTTCTCCGCGTGAGACATAGCCAAGGTCTTTGGTTAAATGTTTTTATTTGGCTCTATATACAAAGAAAGAAGTTTGCTCATTAGAGAGGGAGTGACAAGCAATTAGTTACACAGTATTCAAAGATGTATAAACACCTATAGTCAGTTTATACAGCTGAGTACGTGTTTTGTAAATTGCACCTACAGCACTAAGGCCCACGGTAGGAAAGCTAACTGGATGAAGCTGTTATCATCAATATTTCTAGCTACACTAGTGCTTAATAGTATTTGTTGTGATTCACCACTATTAAYGGATAAACCAAGTTCTAGTTAAAGCAGAAAAAGGTTTGATGCATCAGGACAGCCCTGTGAGAAGTGAGGAAAAGTAATGATGGAATAAAGTAATTTAAGCCAAAACGAATCTTAATTGCTTTTACAATACTTACACAATTTCAAGTGCTGTGATAAAACACATTTTAATGAGATTGATTGAAACATCTGTTAAACTAAGGAAAACCACGAGCAGAACTAAGTGCTGCTTTGACCACCGTGAAGTTTGCACGGCCCTCAAGTTGGGCTGAAGGGTGGGTAAAACCGGGACTGACCCAGCCAGTGTCAGCCGCGTTGTGAGGGAGTATCAGCACATCATTATCGACAGGGGTATCAGCTAATCATGGGGAAGACTGTTAGAAATGATTATCCACAGGTATATCAGCTAATCATTATCGACAGGTGTATCAGCTCATCATTATCGACAGGTGTATCAGCTCATCATTATCGACAGATGTATCAGCTAATCATTATCCACGGGTGTATCAGTTCATCATTATCCGCAGGTGCAGCTCCCGATGGCCGCGCTGCTCAGGTGAGAGCGGTTTTGCATTTGCATTACAGTGAACGCACTGCCTATGGCACTCCTGATGAAACCCAGCGAGAGCTGTGCTGCCGAGTTCATCAGCGCGCGCGTTGGGTTGGCTTTACAGTTTCGTTTAACAAAGTTTAGCTGAGCTTTCCCACCCCTCACGCTGCGCGGAGCATAGCCGAGCCCGCTGTATCCAGGTGAGGCGCGGTGCAGGTGCGGCGGCTGAGGGGGCTCTCCTGCCCCGCCGAGCCTCCCGGCAGCGGCCGCTCTCCCGCCGCTCCAGCGGGGCGGCCCTCGGGSCGCTGCCCCCGCCTTGTGGCACCTCCGGAGCGGCCGGCCCCAGGCACGGGGCGGGACGGGGCGGCGGCGGTCCCGGAGCCAGCGTGCCCGCCCCCCGTGCCCTGCCCGCCGCGGGTGGAGAGCGCGGCGGGCCCGGCCCCGGCCCCACCTGCGGGGGCGGTGGCGGCGGCGGCGGCGCGGGCAGGACGGCCCGGCGCTGGGGTGAGCCCGGGACGGCGGGGCGAGGTGAGGAGCGGAGCCTCGGAACGCTGCAACATGGCCTCCTCCTCCTCCTCCTGCTCGTTCCCCTCGCGTCCCACGGCACGGGGCGGCGGGGACCAGGTGAGCGCACAGCCCCCGGGCGGGGTGAGGGCGGGCGCGGGACTGCTGCCTCTTTCTGCCTTTCCTCCTCTTCACTCCT